ACATTACCAGTTGATCCTTGATAGCCTGATCCTCCATGAACACCAACATTACCAGTTGATCCTTGATAGCCTGATCCTCCATGAACACCAACATTACCAGTTGATACTTGATAGCCTGACCCTCCATGAACACCACCTGTCGCTCCTGAGTATCCTGATCCTCCTCCAACATTGCCAGTTGATCCTGAGCATCCTGATCCTCCTCCAACTTTACCAGTTGATCCTGAATAATCACATCCTCCATGAACACCAGTCGTTGCTCCCGAGTAATCTATTCCTCCTCCAACTTTATCAGTTGATCCTGAGTAATCATTTCCTCCTCCAACATTTCCAGTTGCTCCCGAATAACCGGATCCTCCGTGGACACCAATCGTTGATCCAGAGTAATCTATTCCTCCTCCAACTTTACCAGTGGAGCCTATGTATCCAGCTCCTCCATGAATATTACTAGTTGTGCCAGAATATCCTGATTGTCCGAAATGTCCTGATCCACCAGTTGCTGCGCTATAAATTCCGCCAGCTCCTGAATGAACTGTAGTTCCTTTGCCACCATAACCTGATCCAATGGATGCTTGGCCAGTTGCTCCGCTATAAATTCCGCCAGCTCCTGAATGAACTGTGGTTCCTTTGCCAGCATAACTTGATCCAATGGATGCTTGGCCAGTTGCTCCCGTGTACTCCAAGCCAGATCCAGTATGCCCAGTGTACACTCCATTAGATCCAGAATAATCAGTGCCAGGTTTGGAGTATCCTGTGCCAGATTGACCTCCGTAGCTTCCACTAACTGATCCTCCTTTGCCAGTTGACCCACCGTAACCACCAGTAGAGTAACCAGTTCCAATTTGCGCTCCTCCTGATCCAGTGTACCCGCTTCCAGTTGTTCCTGTGTATCCAACTGATCCCTGACCAAAGGAAGATCCATGTCCACCAACGGTTGATCCTGCGTGTCCTACGCCAGCTGCTCCAGAGAATCCTGAGTATCCAGAGTATCCGCCTGTCGATCCTGAATAGTCAATGCCTGCTGTTGTTCCAGTGTATATTCCACCTTGACTAGTATACCCATGGGACAATCCACCAGTGAAGTATCCATCACCACTTTGAGTGGAGTAACCACCTTCTGAATACCCTGGCACCAACCAAGGCCATTCGCAAACTAATTTGTGCTCATCGAAGATCAGTCCGAAGGGACAACGGAATTCGAATGCCATCATTTCTGGGCCGCCTGGAATTCCAAGGTAAAATTAATTATTTAAAAGTTAGACTCGAATCTAATGTTATATTAATGATTTATATATGGAGAGACAAGAACCTAAGTCCATGCAAGCGAAGAACCAACGAGGATTTTGGGGATCCGCGTAGTATCCCGGAGTCGAAGGACATTCGAACCTTACTCGAGTCACAGGAGCAATCTCACTGCTTCCTGGACATGGTGATCCTTGAGGCAACGATCCTGGCCAAACGCAGACTTCTGTACGTTCGTCGAAAGCCAATCCTGCTGGACAATCGAACTCAAAGACCGAGTAATCTTCTACTTCCTGATTGAATTTGACGCAACGATAGAATCTGGGAAAGAAGAATTGTTAAATTGTTAATCTATGTTTCTTTGTTTAATAGAAGGATCACATATATTTAATTTAGAGTAGACATTGCTGCCAGTACCTGTTGCAACTCTTTGGATGAACGAAGTAGCCCTGTCTTGGGCAAGTGAATTCAGTCTGAGTGTTCTCGCGCACAGCTCGAATATGTCCTTCCGTATCTACTACACGGACTACTCGGTATTCGGATGATTTAACTTTTGTTGGATAAGTTAATTGAGTTTGCTGTAAATTGAGAGCAGTCTTCAATTAATCGTACAATTTATAAAACAAGTAGATTACTGAAAAGGGTTCCGTATTACTAAAGTAATTTGTAATGTTAGATAAAAGAAAATACTGTGAATACTCATAATTTTGTAATTATTAAAATTTGAATACAAGTTAGAATTAAGAACCTATTGCCATCTATGGAAACTTTCGCTAAACTTAAAGTGTCGGTGCATGGTACTGTACCGACGAACTTGTTACCTTTCCAGTTTTATAATAAAAATAATATAATTCAATTATGAGAGTAAAATTTAAGCATGTCATAATGTGAAGTAATGTATGCAGTTAAATAAAATGTTGTTCACCGTAATAGGAATCCTTTTGGTCAAAATGCTGTCGGTTAGTAAAGAGGAAATCATACTTAACGACTGATGTTAATTTTCAAATCAGATTTATCATTATTACAATAATTATTTACATGTAAATCGTCTTCCAAAGCGTTCAGGACGGCAGCCCTCGACTTTCTCTTGAAGTCTGTGAACGAATGATGAATTTCATGAGTGAGAGGCTTTCCGCATTGCGTTTCGAAGTCATTTTCGATGTCGTAAATAGCAAGTCCTGGCAGTTCTCGAAGCAGTGCATATTTTCCCTAAAACAATCAATTTACCTGTCACCGTACTTCAAGAAAAATTACTTAGTTACAAACTACCAGGCACTTAGAACTCTGCGAACCTTGATAGCGATAGAAATTTTGTCTTCAAAAGCGATCCACGTTTTATTCTTGAAAGCATAGGGTGCTGTGAGATCTTCATCTCTCTCGACGGTCCACTCTCCATTGTTAAGGGAGTTACACAACTAAAAAACAAAGTTCAAACACAGTTTAACCAAGTATAATCAATCAATATATATAACAACTTACAATTTAACACTAGGTTTCCGGAACGCGTCAATTTGACGGATATTAAATTTTATAAATATTAATTGGTAAACCTTTATGTCCGTTTCGATTGACGCAATTACGCCAATATGTATCCTAGTAATCTATTTTCAAATCCCTAATTTCCAAGATCCAAACTATCAAATACCAATTTTTCTAGGAACAATAGAATAAACCGCATAGTAAACGTCCGTAAACCTAGTGTTGATTGCGATATGAACACAAAATCTGTTTTAACATTGAATTAAAAATATTGTCGACATCACACCTGTTTGCGATCAATAATGATTGGCTGCTTTTCCTCTGTTGGCGATCCAGGCGCATTGCCATCCTCATCCTTCAAAATGAACTTGTAAGCGGTCGCAGGTACCGATACCAGAATTTTCCGTTTGGGAGCTCCCAAGCCGCTGATCAAATCGATCAAACTATCCGCATTGTACAAATCGAACAAACCCATCAATCGCGACGGATGGAAAGTATGACTGTCGTCGTCATCTTCGGCCAAGTAATGCGTGGGGAGCGTAAATAGATCCACATACCTGATGACAAACACGACAGGCTAGGAACATTTGCATTAGCGCGTATAGGATAGATCCTACGCAGAAAAATTATGGTGAATAGACTTGTTTGTGAATCACACCTGAACGCACGCGAAACAGTGCAATCGCGTGAAACGCGCTACACCCGTCTAAAGCAACGACTATGGGTTGTTATAGATCATTTCGATATCCTATTGAACAGTGAATCACTTAAGGATATTAATTAGGATTCATCCCTGACTCACTGTGCGTCTGACAGGACATTCATTTATAGTCGATGCAGTTATGGTGACCGAGTGACTATTTCTTAATAGAATGACAAGGGTACTGTTAAAGGAATTCTGAATCTGTATAATCATGTGTTAGACACGAGGAATAACAAGCAAAATTAAATTTAAATACACATTAGGTTCAACAAAATATTTCGAATGAAAATAACTATGATTAGACATAGTATTAAGCAATTAAAATATTAAATATAATTAATTAAAATATTCTACGTGACAAAAGAAAAGTAGAAATTATATTAATCTACATAAATAAATAATTAATAATGAAATATTTAATTGAAATAAAAGAGAGGAATGTTCGTTTCCCCAGCAGAATAAAAAGTTAGTTCGGTATCAAGGTGAGCCAATGATCAAAGGATCATTTCGATTGTCAGAATAACAGCGTCAGTAAATTCTGACGAATCCCGTCGGTCATGCTCCTGTCATGCAGTCGGATGACATCTTTCGTTCTCGTTCGCATTCAACAGCGTTCCCTGCCCCCGAAATCTCATCCATATTCAATTGAAAAATACCGAACGCTTCGACGACAGGATTCGCGAATGATCCCGGATAATTGGAAGGCGCGACGATCGACAGCGCGGACAATCGATCACCCAACTGGTGCATCGGACTGTTGCGGCATTCCTGGCGCGCTACCGAGTCTACAACTGGCACAAGGTTAGGCAGATAGACCGAACATGGATAAGTAGTTTTTGCTGAACGGTCTTCTGTGTCTAGTCGATAATTCATTGGGACACTTCAGCTGATTACCATTATGTATCTTGGGAATTTTTCAATCACCGTTGTAACGTATACATCATTTTAATCGGAATTTAATTATTCTTAACCCTTTGCACTCGGAAGTATTTCGTTTGAAATACTTAACATTCTCTAACCAGACAAAGACGATGGATTTTTTTTAAATGAATTCAAAGAGAAATCACAGATAAATTGAGAAACAAAGCCTTTTTATCCAAATATTTCACGCACCAATGTTCAATATTAAATATCAAATTTTATAATTCTACTGTGTCAAATCAAATGGTGATTGAGAGTCACCTCTCGAGTGCAAAGGGTTAAATTATACTCTCAAATGGAAGCAGTCAATTTTATATTTGATCTGAGCTTAACCCTTTACGGACAAAGGTTTCTTGAAATATAAAAAAGTTTCGGCAGATGAAACTGAATTACCTATCAATTGCTTGATTTAAAAAAAGTTAACTACGTGCTGATCTCTTGCTGTTTGAGTAATTAAGTCATTCATCATGTCATCGTCGACTTTCGTCCGCAAAGGGTTAATATTAAATAGTGAATATTGTACTATCTTAGATTCACTGATCTCATTAACTCAGTTAATCTTTTTTTAGGCAGTTCCAAATAGATGATCCATTTTACAATGGAAAATCTAATTGTAAAGGATTCTACTTACTTCGTTAGCTCCTTCAAATCGAACTGCTTCGCCAGATCTTCACCTTTCGTGGATAGAACCACGAAGATTCTCTTATCCTGCGACTTCCTCACCAGCTCATCCTTCAGTCCTTTCACAAAATCTAGCAGTCGTTCCTTCGTACCAGCTGTCATGTTTAATTGGACTCCATCGATCTGTGGATTCATTCATTCTGGTTAATACTTCGAGGGTTTTTAAAAGTGGATGGGAAATTTCGATAGTTACGTCTTTCAAGATCCCGAGCAGACGAGCGATGGTCTCCTGGCGTACTGTACCGGAAGTCCTCAGCGTCTTCGCGGGGTCTTCGACGGAAATCATGAACTGCAGAGGCGGGTTGATCTTCTTCAGCGAATTCCGGAAGTCCTCAAAGTCTGAAGAATACGGTTTACTTAGAAAACAATGGAAAATGATATGCGATTAATAAATACATTACAATTTCCCACGGAAGTCGCGTCAAATCATTGAAAAGAATAACAAGTCCATATAATCCAAGTATAATCGAGTCCATTAGTTCTACTCGATGAAACACGTGATAAAACTTTCGTTACAAATGCACAACGTTTCTACGTTAATTGAGTATTTCATATTTTTCATTGTCTACGATTAATCATACAATTAAAAATATAATACGGGATAAGGAGAGAGTCGAGAGTATACGCGATTACCGCGACAAAACCGGAAGTTCAGACGGTTTTATGTTAGAATTGAACTCTTTGTTGGACGTTCTTAAGTTATATACTTGTTCATCTGTTATCATAACGTCCACATCTCGTAATAAAGCACGGTTTATAGCAGTGTTAAAAGGATAGGATAAAAACACTTTTACCGATCTCAATCGTTCCCAGTAGTTCATCGTAATCGTGTAGGTTAATTGCATGGCAATTAACCGTCCGTGATGTATTCTTTTGAGATATATCGTTCGATATTGCGGGTTCAACGTTAAAAATCTACACATTCCCTCGTATTTTTAACTAAACCGTGACGTAAACACTACGATAGCCACGTTCACCGGCAAAAACCGTTCCTGGCCGGCCAGTTCCGCCTTCCTTTCCACGTGATTGTCAATCTCGGGACAACAGTCGACACGGCAAGAAGCTGTTCGGCGAAACGGAATCACTGCCTTCGTACAATTAATCATGAACTTTCACGCATTCGCGTAATTGGCCGCGACACTGGTCATTATGAAGAATCGCAAGCTGTTGTTGCCTATTACCGATCCTCCGACACGATGATCCCGTCAGCTTTATCGACTGTTTTAATTGCACGTTTCGGCTGGTTCGGATTACCCCCGGAAATTGCGGCAAGATCGATTCATCGCAATTAAGTGCAATCGAATGAAAATTCTGACTTTATTCTGATCACTTTATTCTTGCCACCTCAATCATTAACCCTTTACACTCCAGAAGCTTTTCACAGGAAATATTCAATATTCTAAAGAGATACAGATGACATTTTCTTAGATTGAATTAAGAAATCTCACATGCATCGAGGAAGAGAACTATGTTCTTTCAATATTTCGTACATTGATGCATTATACAAAGTTTAATATTAAATATCAAACTTTACAGTTCTACCGTGTTAAATCATTTGGCGACTGAGAGGCGCCTCTGGAGTGTAAAGGGTTGATATTTCATAATCGTTATCTTGGTCAATGCCACAAATAATACTATCAGTTTCATATTTCCATTTCATCAGATAAAATTTCGAGTATTTGCGTTTCTTACATCCGAAATGTTAAAAGTTCAAAGTCAAAATGACAATTTATGGAAAGGTGCGTCCGACCCCTGCTTCATTAACGAAGAATGCACGTTTCAAAGTTAAATCACCGAATCGAGTCGGTCCGAAGGCAGCTTTTTGCCGGTTTCAATTAGGTTTTTATTAACCTCGGCGCGGCGAGAAACGCGAAAAAAGAGTTGCACGGCAAAAGTGCGTAATCCGTCCGAGGGATTGCATCGCACGCAATCCGTTCCTCCGATATTACGTCTGTAAATGGCGCGCAGAGGAACAGGTTTCGCCGAAATCTCCGTGCCGTGCGCGCGGAGATCGAGCGTGGCGCGTATCTTTCCAGAAAATATCGGCCGCGTGTAATTATTCCCGCTCAAGGATACATCAAACGGGATTCGACAACTCGAAACACCTTAAATCTCTCCGTTCGTAATTACCTCGCCGATTCCTTGACAGCCAGCCGGCTCGGGAGAACTGGTATGGCGGCGCTCCGTGGCGGAAGGAGCGAGAAAAAAATGTGAAATCAGATCGTGCCATTTTCGTGAACGTTCACTGCCAATGGCGAGATCGAGTGGGATTAACGCTGGACACCGGCTAGGCGTGATTTAGGCAACGGGGAAAGTGATACCGGCCGTGTTCTCGCATCTGGATCATCTGTGTCCACTTTCGACGATGGCCACACCCACGTAACAATTTCATACGGTGTAAACATTTCTTCGAAACCTCGATACACATCGAATCGATCGTGCGTATGGATATAAACGAATTGGAAGATTATTTTAAAGGAGACTGTTTAAGAGAGTCTATCGAATAGATATTCAATAGAATTTGATCTTCAATCTTTCATGATCTTTCAATGAAATTTGACTGCCACGAGAGTTTCGTTATGGTAATCCTTATTGCTTCGTGGTAAAGGCAAGTTGTAGAAGTAATTAGTAATGATTTGGTATTACAGTACTCGTACTACGCTATTATCTACTAGGTTGTTACTAAAGATTTTTATTCGATATCAATGTTGTATTGTAATTGTTTTCAAGCAATTTCGAAGCTCCGGTCATCACCGTGGCAGTCGTGTTAAATAAGACGCTCGTCGCTTCGAGTCTGGCTAGGTTAAAATGGCACCAGAAATATCTTTGGAATATTCTCGAGTAAATATTTCCACTGAGAACAACAAGAAAGACTCTAAAATCTGAAATTTCCTACGTCTGGAGAACCAAGCGGAATCTTACCAATTTCCCCATAAATCACTCAATTTCCCCCGAGTGAGCTAAGTTTTAACCAGGCTGAGTACGGTGTTCGCCGTGAGGTGAGCCTTTTTTTCTCGAAAAACTGGTGCCCGAGCAGAGCCGCCATTCACGGCGAGAAACGAGGGCGGGAAAAAAGAGGAATCGTATCCGCGGAGCCCGTTTTCGCGCGATTATGTCACAAACGTGGCACACGTAGGCGCGCGTCTGTCCTCGCCCAGCCATTTTTCTTTTGGTGATTCCCTTGCTTTTTTGTTTTCGTCGCAGCGAACGTCTGGGCCGCACCACCCGATACACACGTTTGATCCGCGGTGGGCATCGAATTTTACGCGTGACATACCGTAATCAGCCGGACGGCCCTCTCTCTTATGCATAACGAATCGATTCCAGCGAACCTTTCGCAACTCTGGCCCCTATTCTCGCCGGGAAATTTGTTTGCGACTTGCGCAACCAGTTGTTTTTAATGACACGCGAAATAAACGTGTGCGTTCGTTGCAATTACACCGCGAGCGCAAGCGCGTCGGTGTCGATGGTTTACGACGGTGAAATCGATGGATTATTTATCGGTGATCTTCGACGTGGAACCTCTAGCGAACTATTTTTAAATTTAAGTGATTGTTCAGCTACTGGTTTTTCAGAGTTTGTAGGAACTTTGATAGTTCACTGTATTTTATTTATTTATTAATCTATTTGCCAAGGAACTATTTTTCTGGTTATATTCGTAAAAGTTCTCTTATTATTTAAATTGATTTAAGAAATCCAGGAGGGTGAATCAACAGGCTGAATTTTAAATGGATGTTTTATAGTTTGTTATAAGGATTGTTGACATTAAGGAATACAGTGTGCATCTCTTTTATGCCGATTTGAGTTTCAAAATGGATTTAAATTTAAATTGAGAGGTAACGAAGTCACGGGAAACTGTTTTTAATTGGATTAAATGAAACTCCGGTTTGATGGGGCTAATGATAGTGACAACTTCGTGTTAGGATTATGAATGAGTGGGCGAAGAAAGGGAAATGGATGAGATTGCACTGATGCAATTGCATCGTCGGCTAGATGAGGAGGAAACTGTTGCAGCAGGAAAATTTCGCGTGTAAGAGTCTATTGTTCGTTTGTCGCGAGTGGAACGATGGATTTATCTTCGGTGTGCACGTATATTTGTGGAACTTTTGTAAAATACTGAAATTTATTTATTAACTAGTAACGACTGTAACTTGGAGTGCTTGTTGCCATTTCATTGTTCTTAGTTAGGTAACCTAAATCACCATAACTGAGAAGCATTAACTTGCTTAAAAATTTCTGGTAATCATTAATCGAAACGTGTATTGTCGTTAAAATAATAACCCATTTCGAAATACCTCTGAAACCCGTTTAATATTTTTAATCGAATCGGTGACGACAGTTCATTAATCACCGTGATAAAGATAGTTTTCGCGACTGGAAGTTGATGACATAATTGCGCGTAGTCATTGACACAGTGAAGAAGTGTAGAATATACTGCAAACAACTGTAAATGGTGAATTATAAAATGATCTCTCATATCACTTTAACACAGAATTGCGCGGATGTTAACCCTTTGAACTCTGTAGGCTCCGATATTGCACCAGTTATAATATTAAATATTTTAATCAATCTTAAAGAAACCACCCTAAAATTATTCGATTTTTCGCACATCCAAATTTTCTACTAAGAAGGAGAATAAAAGATCAATGAAATGTTACAGCATTTCTCATTTTCGCTTTGAATACTATAAAAATTAGTTGCAGTTGCTGACAGATTACAAAACAACCTGGAGTGCTAAGGGTTAATACAAATGGTAAGTTGTGAATGAAAAAATAATTATTCTTCGTTGTTCCGCGCGCCACAGACGAAAAGTGAGAGTGGAATGGCTTAAGTATACTGTAACAAATGAGTGATCACGAGAACATGGTACGTTGCGGTTGGGATTCGATATCCTGTTGCAAGTTCAAGGATGTGGTTGCATCTCTATGGATGCAAGATTTACGCAATCACTCTTTGTACTATTTGCGTTTAACGTGGAAAGAATTAACCGAGAAACTATTGTTTCGATCGACTATAAAGAAAATCGAGACACTCTTTCATCAAATAAAGCAAACGATCGATTAACACGTTGACTGCCAAATAAGCACTCGCCAAAACCTCCACACAATCAAAATAATTTTCATACTAAAACAGAAGCTAAACGGTCAAAATTCTTCGTAACTTATTATATTATAAAAATATTCTTCGAAAAATTCTTCGTATATTTAATACATCTAATAAAATTCAGTTCGTTCGATGCGTCACCGAGAAAATTCATTTTTAAGATGATGGAGAAAATGCTGTCACCCGAATTCGGACGACATGGCAATTAAAGCGTTAAACAAAAATTGCAGGCATTGTAATCGAATCATAAATCATCCAGTTACATTTGATTCCATAGAGGGTCCAAGACAATGAGATATTCACGCAAGCTCTTATCAAAAACTGGAAAACACTGCAATTATTCTTCCTGTAAGTTGCTTCCATATAAATGCTAATCGTTTCATGAGTTATTAAATGAATAATTCCGTCACGAATTCCATCAGGTCTCGGCTGACGTTCTTCAAATTTGCAACATAATAGCTTCCATGAATTCCCTATGTCCGCTTCCCTGTAATCCGGCAATAATTTTCCCCGCACGATTGTTCTCAACGAATAAGAAATTATGTGACATAATCGTTAACCGTCGATTGTGACGCGATTATCGCGAACTGTCCGCTAAACGCATCGTTTTACGTCAAAATCAACTCATAGGATCATCGCTAATCATTCCGAAGTCGAATTCACCGCGATCAGCTTACCGGAAGTCGAGAGATTTCGCACGTCGTATCCTTGATGCACCAGCGTGGTGCACCTGCACAGTGCGTTCGTCAGTTTCCCGACGTCGGAAACGGAAGTGTAACAGACGACCTCCCTTCCAGGCGATGTCTTCTGTTTCGGGCATTCTGAAACAGTCGAAAAATTTCGTTACACAGAGATAAAATCACAGATTTCTCTTCCACTGTTGAAACCTATAAAGTTATTTAATCTATAGTTTCATACGAGGTAATTCTTAACTTTCATTCAGGAAAAAGAATCAAATATGATAGCAACATACATTTATTCACAGACAGAATAATAAATAAGATGCAATTTTCCATATCAACAGTTCTAATAAGTTACAAATACAAAAGAGAATCAAGGATTATCAAATATGATAGCAACATACATTTATTCATACACAAAATAATAAATAAAATGTTACTTTCCATATCAACAGTTCTAATAAGTTACAAATACAAAAGAGAATGAAATTCTAGGAGGGTTTCTATCCTTTCTCTGCGATTTTTCTAAGTAGATATTTATGCGAATTTATTTCGTGGCTAATTTACAATATAAATCAACCGCAAACTTATTACCATTGCGAAGGCGTTTATTATCTGGAAATAAAATAAAATTCCCATCAACTTCAGCGGTAAGTCTCTCCGTGTCCCGTTTCATTTATCAATATTTGCTATAAATGCATAAAATCCGCAGTCTATTTATAATCCGCGAATGCACAGAGACCCCGTTGCCTACTAATAATGTTGCAACGCCGCGTAAAACATAGTATCGTCGCACATGACCGTTTCATAACGCCTGTTGTCTTCCGACGAGGGACGAGATGCTCGTCGACGAACGTGTCTTCCCAGGAAATCGAACGCACGTGAACCGAGCAGACGCAACGGTAACGCATTTGTAATTTTCGCGGCGACCCTGACGCGTCGCGAGGAAAGAAACGACACCGAAAATTAGCGTCCGCGTAGGATCCGTTTTGTTACGCGCATTGATTGAACGTTGCCGTTGACATCATCCTCCGCACGCTATTGCGAACCTGTTGCTATAATAATCGTTTGCATAGCCGCGCGCAGCCTTTCCATTCCCCGAGAAAAGAAGAAACAACACAACACGCGGATTCGATGTGAATTTTATTAACAATAAATATTTCTTCCATTCTCGGACCAACGGAGGTAACTGTAAAGTCTCATGGTAAAAGATTCGACTCTTTTGTAATTAACCTAGTCGAATTACTTTTCATTCGAGATCGAGAAAATGGATAATTGAAAAGCTAGTGAATGTTCATAAGAAATATTCTGATTTTCCTAGATCTGCTACTTTTACTGTTGAACCGTGTTATTTGCGAGTATAATTATTACTTCTTAATCCTGAAAAATGAATGATTTATGTAGCTTCTAATCTCTCCAGTGCAATTAACATTCGCCCATTAATTATTCTCGTACATTGTTGCAGTCGGTATCGTCTATCCAACGAAATTACCATTTCAATTACCATTCTATATTCTGAAATTTCTCAATACTCCAACTTCGATAAGAAGAATCACTCGAGTACAATTCGAAAAATCTGCAACACTCGAAAATCCTCGTAAAAGAGAACCTCTACGAAGGACATCCTGAAACGACCACTATTTAAGGATCGATCGCAGCCAAAAGTTCGAAGTTCACCACGACGTCCGAATAAGAATACTTTCTACGTTGGCCAACATATCGGGCAGATATTTGTCAAACGGAACAGCATTTTTCATCGTTCGTTGTCTCGGCGAAAGGTCAGAATTTGCATCGTATTTCTTATCAGACGCCTCGATAGGGGAACGATCGTTGCCGCCGGTGAAAGCGCGAGCGCCGGGACGCGCTTTTATTTTCTTAAATCGCGTGATCCCCGGCCACCGTTCGAAATGGAAAGTCCGTTTACCCGATTGTCCGGCGAAACTCGCAGTGTAATTGGTGCACCGATGCGCCCGCCCGAGAATGGAATCCTCTCGCGCGCGGGTAAATACTCTCGCATAGTCGCGGGCTCTTTTCGCGCGCGCAGACGTCCCGGCCGACCGGGTTTGGTGACGCGAATGGTACCGTCCTTGCGCGCGATCGCGCGGACCGCCGTTGCTCCAGTTGCCGATGGCGCAACTCTAACCTTAGAGGACGGGACGTTCCCGATACCGAGACGGAGCGACGCGAAACTCCCCGAAACGAGAAGATCGGACGGATAACGGTTATTGGATCGAGGATGCGCGAGATATCTATCGATGTATTAATCGTTGTTTTCTAATTCACGGAAATTAGATTGGAATAGATAGCTTCGTTCGTTAGGTGTTTGATCGGATTCTAAGTGGAATAAAATTTACTTTCGTTATAATTTTTCAGTGGAATAAGGATTTTAGATCTTTGGTCAATATTGTACTGGACGTTTAAATGATCGGTGTTGCGAATTCAAAAGTTTGCGATTTAGTAATGATAGTTCTAAATGATTCTAAGTGGAATAAAGTTTATTTTCGTTATAATTTTTGAATGGAATAAGGATTTTAGATCTTTAGTCAATGGACGTTTAAAAGATCGGTGTTGCGAATTCAAAAGTCTGTGATTTAGTAATGATAGTAATTAAAGGTACTATTCGGTATCGAGGATGTAAACGGAATATGTTAATACACAGAGGTGAAAGAGAATGTAATCAAAGCCGCATTAAGACTAGAGGAATAGGAAAAAATGAAGGAGATGAAGATGAAGGCACACGCATCCGATAATTGTGTTTGCAACCGCATCGAGGTGCATCGCTCAATTAAGGACGAAGTTAGAACTGACATCATACGATTCACTGTGTCTTAAATCGTGTAAACATTATTTAATCTTTCAAATTTTAATGTAACCGTCGCGGGTGTGAAGTTCCGGCCCGTATTTGTAACTCTTTTGCTGGTTAATTGACACCTAGTCGTTTCCTCTGAAAAGTGCGGCGAGAGAAAAGAGGAACTAAAAAACAAGGAAATCGATGGACGCGATTTCTCGGAACCGACATTCGAAAATTGGTATTTTGAAACGATGATCTAACTTGGATATTATATAGTTGATAGAAAATTTCATTCGTTTCGAATCGGAATTGTAATTCCTATCAGACGCCGCGTCATTATTCAATAAAACGGGAAATGCGAGGCTTAGATTGTGCCACGGAAGATTAAAATAATTATCATAGTGTAGATTAATATAATTTACGACGTGCAATTACGCTGGAATCGTATGGGAAAAAACAGTATCTATTTACGTGGAATAAACATTATCCTCGTAGCATGCAACACTGGTTTAGATGCTTTTCATTCATCACTCTCATTCATGAGCCCACAGAGTGACGTTTAGAATGCGTCCGAAGCGTGTTAACGAGTAGAATAGTTTCTCTTTAGTCAACACCTTCCGAAGGTGTTGAAAAATTGATAATCTCATTTCATTCATGCTAAAACTTCAATGGGACTTACTAATCATTCTAATAAATACATATCAAGAATATGACTTAACATTTTTCAATATTCTCTAAGTAACATTAACAAAGAATTAACATTCTCTCCCTGCAGTTCAAACGAGACATGTCAATAAAACACTTCTATCATCTGTCACTAAAATCTCTCAATGATCCTAATTAAGAAAATCCTTTCACCTACTCTCCGATATTCCTAATAATCACCACGCCCAACAAAAGAATATCAACAATATCTTAACCCTTCCTGCACAAGAATTCAATCCTCTAAAACCTTCCACAAAGAATTGATTAAAAGGTCCAGAAAAATTGCTCATTAACTTATTAATATTCGAAAAACCTAGCACCACCAAATTCCCAGTACTCAAAATCATCAACCAACGAAACAGAACCAAACGAAAGAAAGCCCAACGAAAGCAAACCCACGAAACTAATGAAAAAAACCAATAAAAACAAAAAAAAAATAAAAAACTCA